TGCCTGCCCTGGCCCCACGCAGCCCAGCCCAACCCAGCCCACGGGGCTTCTTCCCACCCGTGGCCTCGCCGGGGAGGTGGTGCTGGTGACACAGATGCCACCACCTGCCTTCTGTGACTATCACAGCCCCAAGCCCTGCTTGTTTTCCTCCTTCAGAGGGCTCGTGTGGCGCTGGTTTGGCGTCCCCTGCCCGGGTGGCATTTCAGACACCCCCGGGGCACGTTCCCCAGGCAAACACTGTGCAGCAGGTTTTGTGCACTGGGAGTTCCTCTGCTCTCACTGCACGGCCCAGGGCAGCCAGTGCTGGGATACCCTCATTCCCCAGCCCTACCCACGCCCCCAGCTCCCGGGGGGACAATCCATCCGTTCGCTCGACTAGAATCGCTTGCGCTCACCAGCTTTTGCAGCATCTGTAAAGGTCAGGAAGAGGAGAGAGAGCTGTTTCCCACCTCCTGGGAACCACCTATTTGTTCTTGGGCTTTTTTCCCCCTCTTCTCTGCTCATAAACACCAAGCTGCTCTGCAAACCCAGCTCATTTTGCCGGGAGGTTTTGCAGCTGGAATTGTGGGCGACTCCCCTTTCCCTGGCTCCGGGCTTGCTCTCACGGGGTTCCAGCCTGGTTTTTGGGGTGCAGGGGGTCTGTTGTGTAACCTGGCAGAGCCAGTGTTGGGGCAGGGGTTTCCTGTTGCCCACGAGGTGGAATTTCCATTGTGTTTGGGTTGCCCTCTCCATGGTGATTCATCGTCTTGGCCGAGGCAGAGTTTCCTTCCTTCCCGCAGGGCAATGTGCAAGGTTTCACTCCTTTGGAAAACAGCTGGAACAGGACCTGTCCCCGTGATCCCCGCACCCAGCCACCCTCCAGTCCACTGACCCAAATGGTTTTTAACCCTCCAGTTTCAGGGAAGGGGAAAACAATCCTCAGAAAGCTTTCCCGGCTCGGATGGAGAACGACCGTGTCCTGGGCGACCTGTGGGGGAAGAGCAACGTGCCCGTGGTCCTGAACAACCCCTACTCCGAAGCAGAGCAGGTAAGAGACCATGCCTTGTGCTGCTCTGGGTGGGAAGGGGGGTCTGGGGACATGTGACCCATCCTGGTGGGCTCTCACCCCACGGAGAACCCGCGCTTTGATCCCCAGAGCTGGGGCTGGTGGGGTGCAGAGCCCGTGGGTCAGACAGGGTATGTGGGTCACTGGAGAATGATGCTCTCCATCCAAGGGCTGACGTGGGATGGGAGCACAGCCAGGGACCAGGACTGTGAAACCTCCCTGGGGAATGTGATCCCTTTTGGTGGCAAACGGCCAAGTTGCATCATTAAAGTCGCTTTGATTCCCAGGAGGGTAATTCAATAGAGCACTTCAGATAATACGTGGTACACGGCGCCTTTTCATCTCCTCACACTCCACGGACATAAATTCTCAGGCTTCCTTGCCAAAAGGAGATTAACTCCACGCTTGTAGCAAAGCCAGAGACGTAAGGCAGACCCTGCCAGGCCACAAGATCACCTCAGGGAAAGCATGACGTGGGTGAGCCCTGCCAAGCCTGCTCAGGCAAACGTGTCTCCCCGATGGGATTAACCAGCAGCAAGGCAGGACAGGGGGGATCAGGCTCGGGACCA